CCCAAGGTACAACGAGTGAATTAAACACTGAAAATAAGAGTAGGTTATGTTAAAATAATATCAATAATGATAGGAAGACCCAGTTTCTTCACAAATAAAATGCAAAGAAAACAAAAAGCAAATTTAAAAAGGATGAAGAACCAGGCCACTCCAAGGCATGGCAGTTATGGCAGCTGGATCCACGTGGCCAACTGCGCAGTTTGGGTCCTGAACCCAGCACGTTGAAAAACATGCCAGGAGCATATGCATGCATACCCAAAATCCAAAAATGTGGGTCAAATGGAGAAGAGGTGCAGTGTGATGTGACCATGCCCCATGGGGTGGGGGTGGGGGTGCTTTCTCTCTTTCTTCGTCCTTTCTCTCTTCAGTGAATGTACATGCCCTCTGACAAAATTAAGAAAAAGAAAGAAAGAAAGAAAGAAAGAAAGAAAGAAAGAAAGGGAAGAAGAATCTATAGGTTAAATTCTACTTAAAAGAAATGCTAGCCTAGGGCTAGCAGGTGGTATGGTAATGCCCACATGACTGACTGCAGTTTGACTCCCAGACCTGGCAGCTTGTTTTCTCACTTTCTCCCTCTGGCAAGTGCACATGCCCTATGGCAAATTAAAAAACAAACAAACAAAAAAAACCAATAATAATAAAAAAATTAAATATGCAATTCTTTTTTTTTTTTTAGAGGTTTTTGCTATAGGGCGCATGCGCTTGCCAGAGACAGAGAGAGACAGAGAGACAGAAAGCGAGAAATCATCCCCCAGGGGGGATGGCCACGCTGCAATCCCTTCTCCTCCATTCTCCTCTCAGGATCTTGGGCACGCACGCACACGCGCCCGGCGTGAGTTTTAAGCCACCGGGTCCGGGACGCAAACCGTGGTCTACTACGTGGGAGTCCAGCGACATAGCTATTACGCTAACTGCTGGTCCCTAAATATACAATTCTTAAACAAACAAACAAAAAAGGACATGCTAGCCTATTAAGATTGTAGGCCCAGGAACCAGCATCTGATATCCAGATGCATAGAGAACTATAATAATTCAATAATAAAGACAACCTAATCTAAAAATAAGGATAAGCTAAGGATTTGAATAGATACTTCTCCAAAGGTACACAAATACCTAATAAATATATGAAGCTCAATATTATTAGTCACTAGAAAAATGTAAATCAAAACAAGGATATACCATTTCACATCAACAAGGATGAATATGATAAAAAAAGACAACAAGGGTTGGCAAGGATGTAAAGAAATTGGAATCCTCAAGCACTAGAATATAAAAATGATGCAGCTACTTCACAAAATAGTTTAGCAGTTCCTCAAAAAGTTAAACAGTTATTACAAGCTCTTAGTTAAAAATACTAACACATCCATTGGGACCAGTAGATGGCGTAATGGCTACGACACTGAACTCCCACGTAGTCAACCAAGGTTCTAGTGTCAGACCCAGAGGCTTGAAACTCTGGCTAGGCCCATGTGCATGCATGCCCAAGATCCTGAGAGGAGAATGGAGGAGAAGAAATTGCAGCATGGTCATCCCCCTGGGGGCAATTTCTTACTTTCTGTCTCTCTCTGCCTCTTCAGCAAGCCTACATGCCTCACAGCAAAAATCTCTCTAAACAAACAAACAAAAAAATTTCTAACGCAACCGTATTATAATATGGATGAACTCTGAAAACACTGAAAGTAGATTAGTGGTTGCCACTGGCTGAAGAAGACAGAATGAGGGGTAACTGCCTAATGGCATGGAGTTTCTTTTAAATGTTAAAAATATTTTGGAATTAGATAGTGGTAATGGTTGCATAATCTTGTAGACATACTAAAAACCACTGAATTGTATGCTTATAAAGGGTAAATTTTATGGTATATGGATTTATATCTGAGTAAAAATTTTTTAAAGCCCATATTAGCCAAATGTCTGCTTCTTGCTTGGATCCTGATTTTTTTTTTTTTTAATAATTATCTTATTTAACTTTATTTATTTATTTTAATTTGACCAGAAAGGAATAGAGTGACAGTGAGAGAAAGAGGGAAAGTGAGAAAGCAAGCTGCCAGGTCTGGGACTTGAACCATGGTCGGCCATGTAGGAGTCCAGCGCCCTTTACCCCCATGCCACCTGCTGACCCAGGATCCTGATTTTTTTTTTTTTAATAATTATCTTATTTAACTTTATTTATTTATTTTAATTTGACCAGAAAGGAATAGAGTGACAGTGAGAGAAAGAGGGAAAGTGAGAAAGCAAGCTGCCAGGTCTGGGACTTGAACCATGGTCGGCCATGTAGGAGTCCAGCGCCCTTTACCCCCATGCCACCTGCTGACCCAGGATCCTGATTTTTTTTTTTTTAATAATTATCTTATTTAACTTTATTTATTTATTTTAATTTGACCAGAAAGGAATAGAGTGACAGTGAGAGAAAGAGGGAAAGTGAGAAAGCAAGCTGCCAGGTCTGGGACTTGAACCATGGTCGGCCATGTAGGAGTCCAGCGCCCTTTACCCCCATGCCACCTGCTGACCCAGGATCCTGATTTTTTTTTTTTTAATAATTATCTTATTTAACTTTATTTATTTATTTTAATTTGACCAGAAAGGAATAGAGTGACAGTGAGAGAAAGAGGGAAAGTGAGAAAGCAAGCTGCCAGGTCTGGGACTTGAACCATGGTCGGCCATGTAGGAGTCCAGCGCCCTTTACCCCCATGCCACCTGCTGACCCAGGATCCTGATTTTTTTTTTTTTTTAATAATTATCTTATTTAACTTTATTTATTTATTTTAATTTGACCAGAAAGGAATAGAGTGACAGTGAGAGAAAGAGGGAAAGTGAGAAAGCAAGCTGCCAGGTCTGGGACTTGAACCATGGTCGGCCATGTAGGAGTCCAGCGCCCTTTACCACCATGCCACCTGCTGACCCAGGATCCTGATTTTTTTTTTTTTAAAAAAGAAACAATAGACAAGAAAAAAATCCTTTTGACACAATTGGGGAAAATAAATATTAACTTGGTATTTAATAATATTTGATAATTATTGTGATTATTGTAGATGACTATAGCATTGTAATTATTAGAACAAATGAAGAAATTGATTTTAGAGATAGATATTGAAGAATTTGTTTTTGTTTTGTTTGCCATAGGGACTGTTCACTTGCTGGAGAGAGAGAGACACAGAGAGACACAGAGAGAGGGAAAGTGAGAAATCACTCTCTAGGGGGATGGCCATGCCACGATCCCTCCTCTATTCTCCTATTGGGATTCTGGGTACACATGCACATGTGCCCGGCATGATTTTCAAGATGCTGGGTCTGTGACTCAAACAGTAGTCGGCCATGTGGGAGTCTAGTGCCTTAACCACTATGCACCTGCTGGTCCACATATTGAAGAATTATGAGTGGAATGATATATGATGTCTGGGATTTATCTCAAAATATTATAGTTGGGAGGTATAAATATAAGACTGGATATATGTTAAAAATTGTTGAAACTAGGTGATTGTGTTTACTATGCTATTATCTCAACTTTTGAATTTCTTCTTTTCTAAGAGAGATTTTTTTCTATAGGGCACATGTGCTCGCCAGAAAGAGAGAGACAGAGAGACAGAAAGTAAAAAATCACCCCCCAGGGGGGATGGCAGTCCCTTCTCCTCCATTCTCTTCTCGGGATCTTGGGCATGCATGCACACATGCCTGGCTTGAATTTCAAGCCACCAGTCCAGGACTCAAACCACAATCAACTACGTGGGAGTCCAGCAATGTAACCATTATGCCATCCATAGGGTTTCTTGAATATGTTTTAAATTATCCATACTAATGCATTATAAAAAATATATGTAATTGCACATGCATGGGATAGCTCTGGATGAATATATAATAAGCATATAATATTGTTTCCCTCTAGAAAGGAGAGTTGGATGGAAGAGTTAGTTAGAAGATTCAGAAAAAGGAGACCAGAAGTTAGCGCAATGGCTATGACAGAAGATTCAGAAAAAGGGGACCAGCAGGTAGTGTAATGGCTATGTCGCTGGACTCCTATGTAGTCGACCGCGGTTGAAGTCCCGGACCCGGCAGCTTAAACTCATGCCAGGCATCCTTGTGTGCGTGCCCAAGATCCTGAGAGAAGAATGGAGGAGAAGAGATTGTGGCATGCCCCCCCCGGGGGGGGTGATTTCTCACTTTCTGTCTCTCTCTGTTTTTCTGGAGAGCACACATGCCCTATAGCAAAAAAAAACTCTCCAAAAAAGGCAAGAAGAGATAAAAAAAATGATTCAGAAAAAGACTGAACATCCTTTTAAAAAGAAGGTTCTAGAGCAAAAGGGTAACAGCAACGGCCCTCCATTACTGGTCTCAGTAGATACAAATTAAAGCGCATCCGTTCTTTTTTTGAGCAAGAAAGAAATGCAAGCCCTATTTGTAGATGACCATTCAGTTGAGTTCAGCATCTCAATTCCACAGGGAGTCGGGGGTGGAACTGAAAACAGATGATTGACTTTCTCATCCCTAATCCAGTCCCCAGGAACATTCACCTTCATTTACAACTTTGTGCCACTTAATACAGAGACAGATTTCAACACCTTAAAGTAACCACCTAAGTAAGTACCCCTGGAGCCTGTAGTAAACTTCTAAACTCAGTCCAAACCAACAATCAGCAGAAGCCTGGCATTCTACCGCCCACTGGTTGCAAGCCAGGTGAAATCAAGAACCTTGACATTTGTGGGGAGACAGAGGAAAAACGCTTTGTGAGCAGAGGTGATATGACCAAGACTTTTAAGCACTCTCGGGAGAGCACAGCTGTCATTTATCAGGTCTGCTGGCTTCTAACATATTGCTTTTGGAGGGCAGCTGACATACACTTGACTACAAATCCTGCCTAGTATAAAACAGTTGGGAAAATTAAGGTTAGGCAGGCTTGCTTGAAGAGAGAGAAATGTATTCATTTACAGGAATCCAATCCATTCCAGCCCTTTTCTGTGGCTCATGAGTATTACAGGTCAAAGAAAGAAAGGAAGGCTGCCACCCACCTTGATTCTTGTCATCTGGGTCAGGGTCTGGTTTCAGTCTTTTCACACTGTTGCCACTCTCTGAGCTGTAACAAAAAACAAGGTGATAGAAGCTATGTCCAATCTTGGGGATCAAAGCTTAGGGACTTAGGAGCTCCAATAACTATTTTTATGGGGCTCAGGTACCCTCAAATTGCTAGGATGCTCTGAAATGAAGTCTTCATGTTAGTTCTATCATTAGTTATTAAGAAAATTGTATCATTAGTTACAAAGACAACTTAACCCCCTAACAAACTAAGGAGTGAAGCATTACATCTTCAAGCATCACTTAAACTCCACATTCTTTATTGTCCTTATCATTTGACTTGGTTAGAACTACAGACAGATTTCAAGAGTTTTTGGACATGTTCACAAATGACAAAAATTCAGTGATCAGAGATTGAAGAAAACACCTTTGGTGACATGCAGAGATTCTGAGAGTCACGCAAAAGATTCACTAAAAAAAAAAAATGTATACAGACACTCACACACACACACACACTTATACATATATATATATATAATGTATTTCAGGCTGGTTCCATGGCCTGGCGGTTAAGGCAGCCAGATCCCATGTAGCAGCCATGTTTCAAGTCCTAGACCCTGAGGCTTGAGAAACATGCCAGGTGCATGTGCATGTGTCCCCAAAATTCTGGAAGGACGAAGAGATGTAACCATTCCTTATGGGAGGTGCATTCTTTCGTGCTTTCTGTGTCTGTCTCTCTCTGATAAGTGCACATGCCCTCTAGCAAGCAAAGCAAAACATGTATTTCAACAAAGAAAGAAATGATACCAGAAGGAGAGCCTTAATCCTAGATGAAAGAGATGGTGAACAAAGAAATACCAAATACAACCATAACTAAACAAACATTGCCTGCATGAGAAAATAACATCTAATTTGTGGTATTAAGCACGATTATTCTAAAATCCTGAAGAGTAGCAGCATGTAAGGAGGAAAAGGGTGATTGCAACTAAAGGTTCTAAAATCTGTCTAATTTTGTAGAGAAATAAAACAGCTATTTACTTCAGGTTTTGCTAAGTATGTTTGCAAAGGTTTCAAGGTTAGCCTGTAAAATAGAAATAGAGTTTATAAAGCCAAATGAGTAGAAAGTAAAAGAACAAATAAGGTTCTAAAATCTCAATTATTTCCAAAACAAGCAAGAATACAAGAAAATTAAAAAATTTTAAACTTTTTTTCTATTTCTTGAGAGATTTTTGCTGTAGGGTGCATGTACTTGCTTAAGAAACAGAGAGAGGCAGAAGAAAATGAGGAATCACACCCTAAAGGGGATGGCTATGCTGCAATCCCATCCTCCACTCTCTTCTTGGGATTTTGGACACACATTCATACACGCCCAGCAGGAGTTTCAAGTCATTGGGTCCGGGACTCGAACCTCAGTCAACCATGTGGGAGTCCAGCACCTTAACCACCATGCCACCTGCTGGTCCCTTCAAAACTTTTTAAAGTCTTGCTATGTTGCCCGGGCTGGCCTCAAGAAATCATTCTGCCTCAGCCTCCTATGTAGCAGGCACACATTGCTTTGACTGGTAAAAAAACTTTTAAAAAGTGAAAAGATAGGGCAGCCATGTGAGCTAGTGGTTAAAGGAGGCAGATCCCATGTAGCCAGCCAGTTTGGGTCCTAAGCGGGTGCAGAGGCTTGAGATACAGGCAAGGCACATGTGCATCCATGCCTAAAATCCAAAGAGGGAGCAGAAATGGAGGAGGACGGATTGCAGCATGACCAAGACCCACTGGTGTGTGCCTTCACTCTTTCTCTGTTATCTCTAGTGAGCACAATTGTTCTCTGGCATTTTCTAATTTAAAATCTTTTTTTTTTTTTTTTCCGGAGGTTTTTGCTGTAGGATGCATGCGCTCACCAGAAAGACAGAGAGAGACAGAGAGACAGAAAGTGAGAAATCACCCCCCCGCCCCCCCGGGAGGATGGCCATGCTGCAACCCCTTCTCCTTCCATTCCCCTCTTGGGATCTTGGGGACACATGCACGCACATGCGCCCAGCGTGAATTTAAGCTACCCGTCCAGGACTCGAACTGCGGTCAGCTACATGGGAGTTTAGCGACATAGCCATTACACCAATTGCTGGTCCTTTAATTTAAAATCTTAATAAAAATAAGTCTTAATAAATAAGAAGAAATAGGTCAAATCTACTATTAATTGAGATTTTTAGACTAACCAGCTATTTACATTGAGATACACCTAAAAACTTAACCAAAAAAAATTAATGCCCAGAAAGAGTCAATATAAAAATGGAAAAGTGGCATTAATGCCTAGAGTCAATATAAAAATGGGAAAAGGGGTACCAAGGCAAATACTAACCTAAAAATGAGGTACTGGGACCAGCAGATGGCATAATGTTTACATTGTTGAACTTGCCTATGGTCAACCATGGTTTGTGTTCTGGACCAAGCAGCTTAAAACTCACATCGCTGGCATGTGCGTGCATGCCCAAAACCCGAGAGAATGGAGAAAGTACTGCAGCATGGCCATCCCCCAGAGGGGTGATCTCTCTCTCTCTCTCTCTCTCTCTCTCTCCCCAGCAAGCGCACATGCCCTATAGCAAAAATCTGATTCCTAAAAAGATGAGGTACCTCTATTGATATGAAGAAAACAATTCTGGCCCAATCATGGTGGCATGGACAGTAGGGGCACGGCAGCGCGATGCTGGAGGCCATGTGGTCTGCTCCTGGTTTGTGTCTAAGGACTACTCAAACATGCTAGGCACATCGACAGTGTCTGTGGCCCTGGCTGGATGCAGGACTCAGGGTAGGACCACAGTATGAAACCCTACCAAGGGTGTGGGCCTCACTCTCACACCCTTCCTCCTTCACTCAGGAAATAAATGCACCACTGGGACAGGTCTGAAAACACCAGGGTTACACGTGCCCCAAATCCTGGGAAGCTGGAGGATTAGGAAAAGACCCTGTCAAGAGGCTTTCTCCCCACCCCAACCACCCACGCACGTGTACAAGTTATCACTTAAAAAAAAAGATTCCCAGATTGCCCACAGCACAGTGGTTAAGCCCTATGTATAGACAGACAGATCCCACATGGTCAATGGTGGTTCAAATCTCAGCCCCGGCAGCTTTAAGGACATGCTGTGTGCATGTACATGTGTACCCAAAATCTTAACAGGATGGAGAAATGGAGGAAAAAGGGTTATCATATGAGCTGGGCCCAATATTGTCTCTCCAGCAAGCATGCATATCCTATAGTAAAAATCTCTCCCTCCAAAAAAGAAATACATATATATATATATATATATACACACACACATAAAACAGGTCATCTTGAGTCGTATAAGAAAACCTAAAAGATATTTTGAAAGACTTAAGGAAGCCAGCTGTGATAGCGCTGTGGTAATACAATGCTCTGCTATGCTGAGAGCACAGAGGAAGGCCCCAGGTTCACATCCCAGTCTCCCTGTACACAGCAGCTGGGGGTGGATCATGCTGTGAAGACCTTGTTGGGGGTGCCTGTCTCTATTTCTCACTCTCAACAAATAAATTAACCAATTAATAAATCTTGGAAAAAGTACTTGAGAAAATACAAAATTTGTATATAATAAAAACTGAGGAAATATATAACTTTATATATCTATAACTGAAAAGAATGGCTGAATTTTTTTTTTTTTGGAGAGGTTTTTGCCATAGGGCGTGTGCACTCCCCAGACAGACAGAGACATAGAGACAGAAAGCGAGAAATCACCCACCATGGGGGACGGCCACGCCGCAATCCCTTCTCTTCCATTCTCCTCTCAGAATTTTGGGCACACACGCACACACGCCCAGCGTGAGTTTAAGCCACCAGGTCCAGGACTCGAACCACGGCTGTGTTACAGGGGACCCCACCCCCCCAGCCATTACGCTAACTGCTGGTCCCATAGAATGGCTGAATATTAATGAGGTAGGTATCTGACAATTGTTTATAGCAATAAATAAGAAAAATCTCAAGGAGCCAACCAGGTGATGTGGTGGTTAAGGTGACTAGAGCCACATGGCTGACTATGTCATTCAAGTACCAGATCTGGAAGCTTGAAAAACATTCCACGTGGGAACCAGCAGTTAACGTAATGGCTGTGTCGCTGGACTCCCACATAGTCGACCGCGGTTCGTGTCCCGGACCCGGTGGCTTAAAACTCACGCCGGGCGCGTGTGCATGCGTGCCCAAGATCCCGAGAGGAGAATGGAGGAGAAGGGATTGCGGCGTGACCATCCCCCCTGGGGGGGGTGATTTCTCGCTTTCTCTCTCTATGTCTCTCTCTGTCTGTCTGGCGAGCGCACGCGCCCTACAGTGAAAATCTCTCAAAAAAAAAAAAAAAATCCCACGTATGTATATGTGTCCATCTCCCTGGGAGGTGATTTCTCACTTCTCTCCACCCCCCCCCACATGCCCTGTAGCAAATAATACATACCCATGTAAATGAAAAAAATAAACTTGAAGAAACCAATGAATATTCCTTTGAAGAAGGTATGAAACAGGTACTTGTGTTTTTATACTTCATAACATACACACACAAGTGGTTTCTAGAGTCTCACCAGTCATCAGAATGAACTATGGAACGTTAAAAGACTCTCAGACTAGCTAGGTGGCCCAGTACATAGCAGACTGGACTACAGTGCTGAAACTCACATAGTTGAGCACAGGTTTGCATCACTGGGATGGGCAGCCTGAACAGTAGGGTTGCATGTGCCCCAAATCCTGGGGAGCTGGAGAGTTAGAGAAAGATCTTGTCAGGGAGGCTTTCTCCCTACCTCATTCCCACCCACGCACACACACACATTACCATTAAAAGAAAAAAAAGATTCCCAGACCTCACTCCAAACTTACTGAACCAGAATTAGTGTGAGGCCTGGGAGTCCATATTATTAACAAATCCCCAAGTGACTAATAAACCCAGGGTTGGGTAGATTAGGAACTTTTGCCCTAGGAAACTAATTTATCACAAAGCAATATTAAAAGATGTAGTTTCATTGTCCAAAAAAAAGTAACATAAGGTCATAAAACAAACTGAAACAGAGCCCCCCCCCCCATTGTAAGTTTTTGCCATAGGGCGTGTGCATTCATCAGAGAGAAGATAGAGAGAGGGAAAGTGAGAATGCACGGCCCCCAGGAGGGATGGCCACACTGCAATCCCTTCTCCTCCATTCTCCTCTTGGGATTTTGGACACACATGTACAAGTCCCCAGAGTGATTTTTAAGCCACCAGGTCTAGGACTCAATCTGCGGTTAGCTATGTGGGAATCCAGCACCTTAACTACCATGCCAACTGTTGGCCCCTACAAAGCCCTATCTACGGTGAGCTAGGACTAAGAAAAGAGTTACAACATCCATTCTGCTACAGTAAGCAAGCTGTTGAGAGGTAACTGACTGCCAGCCTGGACAGCCCTTGCTTGGAACGGTCCAGCAAAACTGACCCAGGTCTGAATCCTGGAAGACACTGAGCCCAGAAGGAAAGCTTACGTGAGAACCCGAGAGAAATCATTCATGGCTTGGTAATGGCCCTTTCCGGGCTACTCCTCCCCTCTGTTGATGCACCACAATGGCCTCTTCTAAGATGGAGGCAATGGTCCTGTGAACACCTGCAGCAGATGGACAGTGACTCAAACCACAAGACTGCATTAATGCACTCCCTTCAACGTGACTGACTACCAACACAGCGTATTGATTTTCCTGATAGGCTGCGCTTCAACCTATCATCCTTTTGTTCACGATCTGGTTGGTCAAGCTGAAATGACTGGACTCATCACTCTGGTGCCATTTTTAGGACTTGGGAAGGAAAAAGCAGACAGAACAAAGAACTTATCAAAACCTTAGGTAGTACACCACTCTCATCTGTCAAACAGAGCCACAGCCAGGTCAGGAACCCTGTCACAGCAGTCTGCCTGGGATGTTCTCTCCCTTGACTGTCCAAGGCCTAGCTGCCTACCTGATCAGCATCTTTAATGCCTTCTCTAACTTCCCAACAGAAGCACAGCTCCATTCCAGGCAGCTCCATTCCTCCTCCTTGCTCTCCTTACACCCCACACAAATCCTTTCACAGGACTTGCTTATTTGTCTAGAAACACAGATGCTTCTTAAATATTGAACTCCAGCTCTTTCACTGAATGACCTTGGAGAACGTTCTTAATCTCTCATTCTTCCTCTTCTCATCTGTCAAACAGGGATCATACTCATGTGTACTCCACAGGTTTGTTGAAAGGACTGAGATTATGCATGGAAGCACTTAATGTGATGCCTGGCCCATGGCAGGTACCTGATGAAAAGAAGTTATTGTTACGTTTGTTGAATGAATAACCAGAGACAAGGGTCAAAGGCTACAGAGATGCCAAATCTGGAAGGGAAGAAAAAGGTGAGCACATCAAGGAATTTCACTGGCTACCTCGCCAGTGCCGTTTCAGAGCGCACGGCTGGAAGGAGAGCTAAGTTGTGAGAGTGCTGGCTGACCTCTTATGCTTCACGGCTCCTGCCAACAGCTTGGCCTGGGAGAACTTGTTCTTGGTTTCCATGGGTTTCACAGTCAGTTTCTTCTCCACTTCCTTCTTATTTTCTGAAGAAATTCCAACCTTGTTGAGATTACTGTGAGTTACAGGTTAAGGGTCAAACTAAGCAAAAGAGAGAGCTATCAAAGGACAATGGCACCTCAAGAAAGGATGGCAAATATAGCCCACTAGTCCTACGGCTGTGCTGTGCAGTGTTTGGCCTACTCATAAAAAACAGTTCCCCTCCCTTCGTCATCCTGCCAGGTAAATCCAGCTGATTTAAAGAGAAAGGAAGGAGACCACAGAAGGTACTGTATCAATTTCAAAGTTATACAGAGAAACATCATTTTCTCTGAATCTAAGCATAGCCAGAAAATTTACCATTACCAAAAATATGGCCAATATCATGCCTGATGGGGAAAACAAAGATCGTATGGAATATAAAGGGAACAGGAAAAAATTTTTCATGTTTCCCTGAAATATGAAAATACATGCCTTCCCCTCCCTGTGGGTAAAATTTAATTTTGAAAAATGCTTATGAATTTCAGTGCATTCAATCTTAGACATCATGAAGACTAGCTCTTGCTTTTCAGGTACTAGGCAACATCAGAATCAGCTCCAGGCTCATTAGAAACTGAGTACCCTGGGTCGGCTGATGGTGTGGAGGCTAAGGGGATTGGATTCCACATGGCATACTGGGCAGTTTGAGTCCTGGATCCCTTGAAAAACACACTGGGTGCATGTGAGTGCATGTCCAGAATCCCAAAAAGAGAGAGAAATGGAGAGAGATTGCAGTGTGTGGTGTGACAGTCGCCCACGAGGAATGCTTTCTCACTTTCTCACTCACTCTCTTTCCAAGCACACATGTCCTCTGGCAAATTTCAAAAAATAAAAAAAGGAAAAAAGGAGATGCAGGGTCCTTGCCCTGCCCAAAATCTATTAAATGAGGGTCTCTAGACAGCTAAGACTCTGTATTAAACACTCTCTCAAAGTAATTTTAATGAGAAACCCAGCACATACATATGAGAGTCAAAAAATTGTTTTCAAAAAGCAAAACCAGTTCACTTGTGACAGAACCTTTTCATGCCTACTGCCAATCTCCAGCTGTCAAGGTCTGTCACTTTTGCTTGTTCTACCAGCCTCCTCCTCTCCCTCCTTCTTATACTCTCTCTCACGACTTTACTAGACAATAGGTAAGCACTGCGATTGGGAGGAAGCCCTTACTTGAGATGCGGTAGTGCCTTACTGGAACAATAGTGACATCTAGTGCCCAAGAAAGCGAAGACTATATTATCAGACCAATGGGCTGGGTGCAGGCAGAGGATCTATGGCCTCAGCTATTTGTCAGGTGTCTTTGAACACTGAAGAAAACTGGGTGCCAGAAATAAATTCTAATTCTGATCCCTCTTCAGGCGCAGGTTTACTAACTCTGTTCTTTGAGGTACCAGTTATGTTAAATGTTTGCAGCGTTCAATAAGGATCATGTATAATGCTCAGTGCTATTTTGAATTTCATCAATTTAACATTTTGGAAGTCATCATGGAGACATAAGTTAATACTAAATGTTCATTTTTATAGGAAAAATGAGTTTTCATCTTTCTAGTAAAAATACCATTAGCATATTATGATTTTTTTTTTTTTGAGAGGTTTTTGCTATAGGGCGTATGTGCTTGCCAGAAAGACAAGAGACAGAGAGATAGAAAGCGAGAAATCACCCTGAAAGGGGGATGGCTGTGCCGCAATCCCTTCTCCTCCATTCTCCTTTCGGGATCTTGGGCACGCACGCACACACGCCTGGCATGAGTTTAAGCCACCAGGTCCAGGACTCGAACTGTGGTCGACTACATGGGAGTTTAGTGACATAGTCATTATGCTAACTGCTGGTCCCAAGCATATTATGATTTTTTTTAACCTGCAAAAAAAGACAGAAATCCTCAAAGAAAATGTTCAATATTCAATATTTAAAAATAAAGCAAAACTGTAACAAAGTAACATAATGAAAGTATGTAAAATACATACATATATGTATAATACCAGGACATTTAACTTTATATTCTTTTTTAATTTTCCAGAGGGCACATGCATTCACTGGAGACAGAGACAGAGACAGAGACAGAGAGAAAGCATCCCTCATGGAGCATGGTCACACTGCAATCTCTTCTCCATTTCTCCCTCTTTTGGGGATTTTGGGAATGCATGCACATACTTACATGCCTGGCATATTTCAAGTCACTGGGTTGAGCTCCTTAACTACTAGGCCATGGGCTGGCTCAATATTTTATTCTTTTAAAGAAAAATCTCAACCTTTTTTAGGGAGAGAGAGAGTGGGAATATATTTTTGATCCACATCCAAATCATAAGCAATTTTCCCTCTTAATCTCCTCAAATATAATCTCCACAAATATACCTCAAAAACCACAAGAAATTAATTAGAAGAGGCTTTTTAAAAAATCACATAATTTTAAACATAATATCACAAACTACTGGTTTAACCTGAGAAGAAACAATTACAAGTTCATTTGCTTTCATTGTTACAAACCACAGCTTATTTGTACTCAGAAGCTGCACATTATAAAATGTATCACATTATAATTATCCAGCAAAGGCAAAAACCAGCTCCTAAATTAGAGCTTCAATAAACAAATATCTAATCCTTCAATTCCTATCTCAGCATGTCTCTGGTTACTCACATTCTCAGGATTAATGCAATATACACCAGTAGGGTGGAAGGCCTGCTTTTCAGTTTTTCTAGACATCCAGAACTTTCCAAGTTTCCAATTAAAGCCATTACTGTAAAGCCAATGTGTCATAATGTTACTAGGACAGAAATGTTTCTTTGGCCTCACTGCTGCCCTGTGCTGTTGGTTCTTTCCATTTTATTTTATTTTATTTTATTTTGCCAGAGAGCATGTGTACTCACTGGAGAGAAACAGAGAGAGGGAAAGTGAGAGAGCACACCTCCTGTGGGGATGGCCACGTTGCAATTCCTTCTCCTCCATTTCTTTCAGGACTTTGGGCACACATGCACATGAACCCAGTATGTTTCTCAAGTTGCCAGGTCTGAGACTTGAACTGTGCGGTCAGCCACATGTGATCCAGCTGCCTTAAGCACCATGCCACCAGCTGGCCTGGTTCTTTCCTTTTCATTGACAACAGAAAGGCATCTCACACTCAGTACTACCCTTCAGAACGCTGACTTTGAGAGACAGTATCTCCTCTTTGCTAATCTGCCAACACAAAATATCATTCAAGTGAGAAGTATAATGAATGTATTTCATTAGAAGAAAAAGTTTAGTGTCTGAAAAAATACATCTGCCTGTGTTTACAGACTTCAATCTATAATATTATGGGGTCATCAGGATGGAGAAGCGGGTAGTTCAGAGGAACCAGTCCTCAACCCTACGACTGGGATCGAGGTGTAACCTGCCGTAAACTTCTACCTTCATGGTGTACCTCAATGCCACTAGCAGAACAGGAACAGGAAGACAGGTCTTCTGCTACCAGTTCAGATCTAAATCAAATCCAAGGAAATCTGTCTACGTTTTCTCAAATATAATTTTCTCTCTCTCTCTTTATTTTAATTTTTTTTTTTTTTTTGGTAGTTTGTCATAGGGGATGTGTATTTGCCAGAAAGAAAGCGAGCAAGGGACCAGCAGTTAGTGTAATGGCTATGTCGCTGGACTCCCACGTAGTCGACCACAGTTTGAGCTCCAGACCCAGTGGCTTAAACTCACGCCGGGCGCGTGTGCGTGCGTGCCCAAGATCCCAAGAGGAGAATGGAGGAGAAGGGATTGCGGTGTAACCATCCCCCCAGGGGGGTGATTTCTCGCTTTCTGTCTCTCTCTCTCTCTGTCTGGTGAGCGCACGTGCCCTATAGCAAAAATCCTCTCAAAAAAAGGCACAAAAAAAAAAAACCCCAAAAAAAAAAAAAAAAAAAAAAAAGAAAGAAAGCGAGCGAGAGAGAGAGGTAGAAGAAAAATGAGAAACCATTCCCCACGGGAATGATCATACTGCAATCCCTTCTCCTTCATTTCCCTCTCAGCATCTTGGGCACACATGTATATGTAGCTGACATGCTTTTCAAGTCATCAGTCTGTGACTTAAACCACACAATGGGCCCTGTGAGATCCAGCCACCTTAACCTCCACACCACCTGACGGCCCTACATAACTCTTTACTGGAACTTATACATCCCACCAAAAAATAGCCAGCTGACACATACACATAGTCATATCATCAGTCTGAGAGGTAAAGCCTGTTCAGTCCCACTAGTGACGTTACTCAACATGTAAGTTTAAAAATCCACTGAGAGGGACCAGCAGTTGGCGTAATGGCTATGTCGATGGACTCCCATGCAGTCAACCACAGTTCCAGTCCTGGACCTGGTGGCTTAAACTCATGCCGGGAGCATGTGCGTGCGTGCATGCCCAAGATACCAAGAAGAAAATAGAGAAGGGATTGCAGCATGGCCATCCCCCCTGGGGGGTGATTTCTCGCTTTCTGTCTCTCTGTCTCTCTCTGTCTTTCTGGCAAGCACACAAACCCTATAGCAAAAACCTCTCAAAAAAAAAAAAAAAAAAAATTCCCTGAGAAAATCAGTAATGACCAAATCATATACTCTTTGTTCTTACAGAACTTGCCTACTTTACATTCCAGAGGTAAAACAGATCAAATAAACAAACAGAAAACAAATAAATGAAGATTTGCAGATAGTGACAAATGCTATTTAAAAAAAATAAGAGAACTGGGCCAGTAGGTTACACGGAGGTTAAGGCCAAGGTTAAGGCCTGCATGGCTATGTGATTCAAATGGCATGTGTATACATGTCCAAAATTCTAAGAGAATGGAGAAGGGACTGCAGTGTAACCTTCCTCCCTGGGAGTAATTTCTCACTTTCCCATTCTCTGTCTCTCTCCTATAAACAGATGAGAACTGTAATAAAACTAAAGGAAAAAAAAAACCAAACTGTACCATACACGGCAATGAGGTGAGAGCAATTTTAGATGGGCTGCATAGGGGAAATCTCTAGAAGGGAGATGTGAGCTGAGACCTCAGTGCCATGTAATGCCTGCCTTGTAAAATTTGAGGGCAGAACATTCCAGGTTAAGGAAATAGCAAGACGGAGCCAAATAATGGTGCAGTAGGAGAATGTGATGCTCTGCAAGGCAGACCCACATGGAAGGGTTCCAGGTTTGCATTCTGAAGACCTCCCTGCATCTGTCAGAGCACGCATGTGTCCATGATCTGGAACTAGCTGAAGCTGGGAGAGGATGGGAAGCGTCACGATCCTGTTGGGGGTGCTGTCTTGCTCTCTTGCCCATGGGATAAATAAACTTAAAAAAAAAAAAAAAGAATGCTCCCTTTGATACCTGAACAGAGATGATGAAAGTAGATGGTCGTAACACTCCAGAGGAAAGTCTACAACTATTACAGTGGCAGCAGAGATAAGAACTGGATAAATTTCTATTATATTTTAGAGACAGTCTTTGGCCCAGAGGCCCCTGGGTCAAAGGAGCACCAGATAGGAGCACCAAGTATTGACATTGGGAAAACTAGAAAGAGACTTCAGGGGTGAAAAATGTGTTGAGAGTGGGGATAACATGGTATAAAATTGAGAATTTTAATTCAGTCAAGTTACACCGGGATGCCTATTAAGTGGATGCCAAAAAATGCAGCACTGAGACAAAGAGAAATAATCTTTGCTGCTTTCTCAGCCCTTCTAGGGAAACAGACCACACTGTACCAATGGGGAAGGTCTTACTAATACAGACACGGGAAAGTTGCTAAAAACACTCTTTTAAAGCTTAGAAGCCCATGGGGCCAGCAGTTAGCGTAATGGCTATGTTGCTGGACTCCCACGTAGCCGACTGCAGTTCGCGTCCCGGACCCGGTGGCTTAAAACTCACTCCAGGCGCGTGTGCGTGTGTGCCCAAGATCCCGAGAAGAGAATGGAGGAGAAGAGATTGTGGCATGGCCATCTCCCTTGGGGGGTGATTTCTCACTTTCTGTCTCAGTCTCTCTGTCTTTCTGGTGAGCACACACACCCTATAGCAAAAAACTTTCAAAAAAAAAAAAAGCTTAGAAGCCCTGGGCCAGTTGGTGGTGTGGAGTTTAAGGCATTGGATTCCACATGGCCAACTGCTCAGTTTGAGTCCTGGATCAGCATCTTGAAAATCATGCCAGGAGTGTGTATGCCCAAAATCCCCAGCAGAGAATAGAGGAAAAGGGACTGCAGCATGGCCATTCCCCTTGAAGGGTGATTTTTCACTTTCCCTTTGTCTCTTTCTCTGTTTCTGGCAAGAGCATGCACCCTGTAACAACAACAACAACAACAAAAAAAAACTAAAAAGAAAAAAAAAATGCTAAAATCTAAAAACAAACAAAGAAAAAGCTCAGAAGCCTAGACGAGGTTGACTGTATTGCCCATCTGTCCCAGAGCCTAATCCTCCTATAAGGCAAGACGACTCTGATACTGACTACTAGGCTTTATGCCTTTCGTTAATCCTACAGAACGTGGGTTTTTGATTGCTATAGACTTCCACGCAACACAAACTCCACAAATCATTGTCAGTGATTCAGTCGTAGGAATATCAGTGTGGAAAGAGACTTTAGAGATCACAAGCTAGAAGACCCTCCTTCTACTAATGAGGGCTGACCATAGGTGGTGATGAGAAAACTGACACTACAGATTTCTCTCAAAGTACAAAGGATATTCTGTATTCCTTCAGTTCTTGCAGTTCTTCTTCTCTTCGTTGTTTTTCTAGTAGTTCCTGCTGCCGAGAAACCTCATCAAGGAAGTTGGTCTCATCTTCATCTAAGCCTCTTACCATGTTTTCTGAGGAAATAATTAAACAAGGAACACTTAGCAGGCTCAAGGAAAAATACAGTCAAATAAGATTATTCTTTTTCCTTCTTTTTTAATAAACAGTAGATTCTTCATGGTATTAGAAGAAAGAACTGGTAAACACCATGGCTTTTGGACAGATAACATGGCATAAAATCAAGCATTTCTCCATAACTAAATATTAGCATAGAATTAAAATGGGTATCTTGAGCTCTAAACAAAAATGTTGAATGTGATCAAGAAGGCAGAAGTGGGGACCAGCAGGTGGTATGGTGATTAAGGTGCTGGGCACTCCCACATGGCCAACCATGGTTCGACTCCCGGCCCTGGTAGCTTGCTTTCTCACTTTCCCTCTTTCTCTCTCTCTCTGGTCAAATTAAAATACACAAATGAATAAATAAAATTAAGTAAATAATTCTTTAAAAAAAAATAAAAGAAAGCAGAAGTCTGTTTCTTTTCCACCAAATGAGCATCTACAAACTAGAAAAATCAAGAAAATTCCATGGCTAGCTAGAAAAAGTATTATGTGAGGCAAAAGTATGTTGGAAAGGCCCTGCAGAGTCTCTTGGACTCCATCTGAAGCTTACTGAATTTGAACTGCTCTTCATACTCCTGCTGCTTCCTGTCTTTCTGCTCCTGCAGCCTTTCATAGAGAGACCGGGGGTCATAAACTTCCTCTGGACATTCTGAAAAGAAGAGGTGGGGAGAGAGGGGGAGATATAAACTTTAGAACTTTTTCCCTATTATTAGGAATAATAAAGAGTTTGAAAGATCAAGTCAAGTCTCTGTTCAATCTGAGGGCAAGGATAACACAAATATAGTACAAAGCCCACAGCTTCCCTTTGGCCCTCGGAGGGAGGCCAGCATTCTCAAAGCTAACTATCAATGTCAACAGGGTCCATGGTCTGAGCTAGTTAACTGGATGAGGAGCCAGCTCAAAACTCCCTAGCAGCAGCATTCTCAGCTGTTCAGGCTGTGGAAACGGCTGTGGAGATGGAACAGACAAATAGAATCTTCTGGAAGGCAGTGTAGTAGAGAGCAAAGGGCAAGGATGTGAGTATCTTCATTCTGTTCCCAGGTATGAAGGCCTTATTACACAGGTTACTCTACCCCTCCGGGCTTTAGCTCCTCAACCTTTAGGTGAGGACAATTAACACCTACTTTGCAGGATTGTGGAAAATTAAAGAACATTATGTAGAGCGCTGCCCCCTGGAGCACAGCAGTTAGGTACTGTACAGAGGAAGCCAGATCTCACATGGCCGAGAGGGGTTTGAGTCCTGACCCCACTGACTTGAGAAACATACAAGCAGGTGCGAATACGGGATAGAGAATTAGAGAGAAAAGGATTGTGACATAACCAGAGCCTGTGGGAGGTCCTTTCTCTCTTTCACTCTCTGACTTATAAAAAAAAAAAGAATCATTGGGTGACTGTCAAACTATAAGCCTCAAGCCTAAATACCTTCTGGATCTTCGGGTTTTCGAACCTTCTCCCATTCTTCTTGTCTCCGTTTGCGCCGTTCATCCAGCTCTGCCTCAGATACAAACCTCTTTTTGATGACAAGGTTACCATCATCCCCTCCATCCATAGTGATCAATCTATGAAGAAAACCAAACACTCAAATGAGAAGTGCAATAACATCATGAAGAAAAACGGCTCTGTCTGAACCAGCAACAGGCTAAAAATTCTCTTCCAATATTAAATTGAATCCTCAGTTGAATTTACAGGTTAACGATGAAAGCACACATTACATTTTTCCCTGATGCATCTGTCATTTTCGTTCTTTTTTATGATTTATTTTGTCATTATTAATTTCTTTCTTTCTTTTTTTTTTTTTTTTTAGAGAGAGATTTTTGCTGCAGAGCATGTGCACTCACTGAAGAGACAGAGAGACAGAAAGACAGAAAAAAGAGAAATCACCCCCCTGGGGTAGATGACCACACTGCAATCCCATCTCTTCCGTTCTCCTCTTGGGATCTTGGGCATATACACACAGGTACCCAGTGTGAGTTTTAAACCTCCAAGTCCGGGACTCAAACAGTGGCCGAATATGTGGGAGTCCAGCAACATACACATTACACCATCTGCTGGTCCTTGTTATTATTATTATTTTTAATTTGACCAGAGAGAGGCAGAGAGAGAGAAAGGGAAAGTGAGACAGCAAGCTCCTAGGTCTGAGACTCGAACTGCAGTCAGCCATGTGAGAGTCCAATACTTTTACCGCCATGCCACCAGCCAGCCCCACATCGCATAGTTTTCACTAAGATGTTGGTTACCTATGAAATCAGCAAGGGGGCCTGGAATCATTCTCAGCACCTGATGTTTCACAATAAAGCTCGCATTGCAGGTATTTTCCTGCCCCACTAAATTCGAACAAATCAGCCTCCTGGGCACCCTGTCCTTTTCCCAGCTCTCATCCTCCTCTATTTCTCTAACTTCTGACATTGTTCCCTTTTGAAATTACTGCTTCAAGGACAGTGCACCATCTGATTCACCTGTTCTGGCTTCCAAGCAGATGTGGATGAGAATCTCAGGTATTCAAGGAGGCTTAGTGATCGGGTCCAGACTGCACAGCAAGGAAGTGATATGCCTAGAGTCACACAAACTGCAAATGGAGACAGTGAGAGTGGAAGAACCGGGTCCCGTATCTGCGGCATTATCTCATACACATGGAGAAATTAAGGCCATGTGTCACCTAAGGTGGTAACAAGTGGTGAAGAGTACTGCCAAGAATCAAATCCAGGCCTGACACCCAAATTTCATACTGTTACCTACTTTACCTTGTTTCTCCCCAGAAAACATTACATTTCAGTTGAAAACATGGACATATCAATTTCAGCTTTTCCCCCCTACATGAAATTCCAGTGCTGACAGACCAGCATATAGAGTAATGGATACGTCATTCAACTCCTATGTAGTCAACTGTGGTTTGAGTCCCGGACCTAGCAGCTTAAAACTCATGCCAGGTGTGTGTGCGTACATGCCCAAGATCCCGAGAGGAGAACAGAGAAGGGACTGTGACATGGTCATCCCCCTCCCCGGGGGTGATTTCTCACTTTCTTTTTCTATGGTGAGCACATGTCCATAGTAAAAATCTCTCTTAAAAAAAAAAAAAAGAATTCCAGTGCTGAAAATGTTCATGCAACATTTTTATTTAGTAAAGATGGAAATGGAAATTGAGGAAACAAACTCATTCAGAACCAGAAAAATCACTTCAGCCTCAATCCTACTATTGTGGAGGTTTAGTTCCCTATAACAAGAGATAATTTTGTAAATACCTAGAAAGAAAACTAAATCAACCGACAGAGCTGTTGCTCCCACCTAAAGCCCACGACCTGCACAGTCTGGATTTGGCATCACTTGATGCCACCAGCCAGAGACTTATTACAAAGCAGGACTGTTCTCGCTCTGTGATCGTGCCAAAAATTCCTCGAGTTCTGCAGAACGATCTCTTATGAAACAAAAGCCAACAATTTCTTCAATGTCCCTGGCAGAGAAAACGTGAACTACGTAGAGCTCTAAGGATGGGAAAGACATACTAGACCCTCAACGAGCCCCTTTCTTATTCTGCTGGCTGTCACTCCTCACCCTACATTAGCTGACTGGTTCCCCCCTTCAATTCTTTTTCCAGGTAAACGAAGGGAGATGGGTGTACAGAGCCCACCTAATATGACACTCCATCCAGGATGTGACTCTACTACGTACATCTTGGAAACGGCTGTTTAATTTATGTTTGTTTGTTTAGGTTTATTTCTTCCTTTCATGACTAAAAGAGAGAAAAACGGGACCCTTAACGTGGTGTTAAAGCCATGATCCACCCTGAACCTCAGCCAGCCAGCCCCAGCTCATCAGCACACACATGCCTCAGGGAGGTCTCTGGACGTGTACCCAGAACCTTCCCACCTGGGTCAACCTTACAGAGTGTCGCCTTTTACTACTATGCCACCATCTGGTCCCCAACTTCCATTTTAAAACTTCAAGATGGGGGCCAAATGGTGGCACAGTGGTAACACAATCAGACCTACATGGGAAGGTTCCTGATATACATATTGGGGCCACCCAATACATAGCAGGGATATGTATTCCTATGACCTGGGCTGGCTGAGGCCAGGTCACAGTGTGTCAATTTCTCTCTTTCTATCTCTGTCTCTCTCATGAAAGAAACAAACTTTAAAAATCTGGCTTTCTACAAATTCTACACATAGGTTCAATCCAGTGGGACTACCTACACAAAAGGAGCCAATCTTCTCCAGTATGACAATGCTTCAGTTATTTTATGACAACTCTCAGGTTCCTCCTATTTTGTTGCTTTTCTGAGCCAAACATCCCCAGTTGCTTTGATGTTACAAGATAGGGGGAAATAAAATCAATGTCTCAGAGTAGTGAACTTATTTACTGCAAATGACTTGAACCTGGGACAGAAATATTAGGATGTGACAATGCCACTGGTGTTCCATTGTTCCATTAAATGCATCTCTTTACTCTCATTATTATTTTTTTTTTTTTGAGAGAGGTTTTTGCTATAGGGAGTGTCTACTAGCCAGAAATACAGACAGAGACAGAGAGACTGAAAGCAAGAAACCATCCCGAGGGGATGATCATGTCACAACCTCTTTTTCTCCAGTCCCCTCTCGGGATCTTGGGCATGCATGCACATGTACATGGCTTTGAGTTTCAAGCTGCTGGGTACGGGACTAGAACTGTGGTAGACTATGTGGGAATCTACATCATCTGCTGGTCCTGCTATTATCATCTTTCACGCACAGCAGAAAAACCAGGAATCACAGTTGGTTACTGAAAACAAGAAATATGGGACCAGTAGTCAGTGTAATGGCTATGTCGCTGGACTCCCACATAGTCGACAGCGATTTGTGTCCCGGACCCAGCGACTTAAACTCACGCTGGGTGCGTGTGTGTGCATGCCCAAGATCCCAAGAGCAGAATGGAGGAGAAGGGATTGCAGCATGGCCATCCCCCCTGGGGGGTGATTTCTCGCTTTCTATCTCTCTGTCTCTCTAGCGAGCGCACGCGCCCTATAGTGAAAACCTCTCCAAAAAAAGAAGAAAGAAAAGAAAACAAGAAATAAAAGCGAGGCTAGCCTGTAGCTTAGTTAGGGGAGCTGAATCCCACATAGCTGACAGTGCAGTTCACATCCCAGCCCCAGTAGCCTGCATGCCCGAAATGGACATGGGATGGAGAAGAGACTGCAGCGTGACCCTGCCCCAGATGGAGGGTGATGCTTTCTTATCCCTACCTCACATCTCTCTGATAATAAAAAGGAAAAAAAAAAGGGGAAGTACGTGCTTACAGATAAGGACTTTAGAATTTGATAGAGAAATTCCATTTCTCATCAGTTCTTAATGAGGTGGTTTCCTGAAAATATAGGCATATGATCAAAACTGGTGAACAGTTTAAAGCTACTGGTAATATCATAATTCTAACATTTCCTTGATCCTCAAATAAACCAAGGAAGGTGGTCACACATAGGGAATTTGTGAGTTTAAAAGGGACCAGGCTAAAACGTAGACTGCTTATTCCTCTCCTTCTCCAACTGGTACTTTCTTCTGCAGGTCCTTAGTCCCCGACACTCCAACTGCTACTGTCCCTTCCCTGTCCCTAGTGCTACTAGTGGCTCTCTAACTTGGTCATCTCTCTACATTAGGAAAGGTCAAAGATAAGAGGAGAAAATGTGGGTGGAAAGGGGCCATACGCCTGAGTCTTCGGGATAATATTCCAAAAGTTTCTTCTCCAGAAACAATCAAGTCTTTTCAGGATTCAAAACCTCACTGTCCATATGCTCTACCAATAAGTAAAGGTGAGTTTAGACACCTTTCAGTATAACCTAACCTGCTGCCATCTCTTTATCAAGGAGCAAAGATCAAGACTATAGACTCTTGTGTGAAATCAAGAGATCTTGGTTCAGAATCTGGTTCTGCCGCTCATCAGTCGTTACTAAACACTGGTTTCCTCCTCCCCAGACTATTCCTCATCTACAGATGACACTCACCAATGGGGATCAAAATAGCACTGTACAACATAAAGCTTTTGTGGGGATAAACAAGATCATTTATGTAAAGCACTTTGCCTAATGTTTGGCACATGCTTAAAAATGCTCTAGAGGGTTTCCATTACTACAAAAAATTTTGCTGAATGCTGGACAGGCCACAGGAGACTGCTGTCTGCACTCAGGGAGTGAGGGGAAAATAAGTCAGTGACACAAATAACCATGACTTTTTTTTGAGAGAGAGAGTTTTTGTTTTGTTTTGTTTTTTAAATCAGGCGCATGTGCTTGCCAGAGACAGAAAGTGAGAAATCACCTGCCTAGATGGGATGGCCACACTGTAATCTCTTCTCCTTCATTCTCTTCTCAGGATTTTGGGCTCACACCATCGTCTTGAGTTTAAGGCCCCAAGTCCGGGACCCAAACTGTGGTCAACCACGTGGGAGTCCAATGACATAACCATTACTCCATCTTCCCACCATGACACTTTAAGTGGAAAGAGTTCACATCAAACTGAGAAATTAGGAAATGCACACACATATATTTAACTTTAACAAAGACAGTTACCAAATTATGTGTATATAATAATTTCATACATGTAATTTGGTAATTCTGTTTACCTTTCGTGTGGCTCCTCTTTTACTTTACTAGTTCAATTTAAATAAACTGCATTGTGTTGAGCTCTGTATGTCCAGCACTATGCTAGATTCTCTAAGATGCATAAAAGAAATAAACTTTAATTCTTAGTATTCTTGCAGTATTTATGCCAGATAAGAGCAGAGATAATAAATGATCAAAGTGAGCAGCACAGGTAAGAGGCAGTACTAAAGGACACTAATATAGACCAGTCCTGTTTCTCAGGCAAAAACCTGGACACTTGACTCATCTCTCCTCTTCACTCCTTTACACCTCCCCACCGGGCACCAGGTTCTGTCATTGCTGGCTCATAATGACCTCTTTTTAACCCATCTTCTCTTACTTAGTTTTTGGGTTGTTTATTTGCATGTTTTTTAGGAAAGGGTACCTTTCTTTTTCTTTGTCCTTTTTTTTTTTTTTTCTAGGAAAAGGTACCTTTCTTTTTCTTTGTCCCTTTTTTTTTTTTTTTTAAGATTTTTGCCATAGGGTGTATGCACTCACCAGAGAGAGGAGAACAATGAGATATTGTCCCTAGGGGGATAGCCACGCTGCAATATCTTCACAATCTCTTCTCCATTCCCTCTTAGGATTTTGGGCATGCATATGCACCTAGAGTGATTTCAAACGCAGGGTCTGGGTCTGGAGCTGGGTTGGGAAAGGAACTGCAGTCAACTATATGGGAGACCAGTCCCTTAAGCACCATGCCACCTGCTGGCCCCAAGGGTCCCTTCCTTTCTAATCCCTTCTTTTTAGGATCTCATCTTGCATAAACTACTGCAATAGCATTCCATTAATCTCCCTGTTTTTATTCTAACCCCTTTTAATGCATTCTCCCCAATGTCAACTGAATGATCTTTCTAAAGACAAATCTAATACCATTCATGTCCCAGTTAAAAATGTTTCCAAGAGGGGCCAGCAGGAAAATCACACTGGACACGTGTGTGCATGTCCAAAATTCTCAAGAGGAT